GGACGAACAATCGTACATGAACGAGGTACCGAGAATTTCTGGAACTTCGTGAGGTAGAAGGACTCCCTGTACGCACCTTAGTGAACACCGAATTCACATAATCACACAAGTCCAGAAGGTCGTTTAAGTGAAGCCCCAGGTAATTGACACTGTGGACGCTTCGTATCAGTTCGTTCTCAACTGTTGTTCTTTGTTCGGTTGCTGACGGCAAATGTCTTGATTTGGTGCCTTGCATGATACAGGTCATTTCGAAATTTACTGCTGTTGATCTTCATACCGTCATGTCAGCTCAATACACTGCTCAAATTTCCGCGATGGTATCCTGAGGAGATCTACGACATCTCGGTTGAAATCAATACCACGTCACCGGCGTACTGACATAGAAGGACAGGCATGATTGATGACCCGGTGATTACAGTAAGCATTGTGACTTGAAAAACGGATGGCTTGATTTGTATGTTTCAGCGATCAAACTTTGATGTTGAAACGTGACAGAAAAAACAATAAATAAATCCAACTGACCTGTTGAGTAAAGACTCAGGATCGCCTGAACAGAGATGAACAAAGCGGGAACATTGAAAGTCTCGAAAAAGATGTCGGCTGCCTTCTCGCGATTCTTTCTTGGGTTGACCGGCGCTTCTGTCAACAGAACTGGGTGCTCTTCCGGAAACGTCTGCAGTTGGTCCTTGCTGTACAGAAACTGCCACACCAGCTCCATGTCGTTCCAGTCCGTTATGATGCCGTGCTCCATCGGGTACCGAATGTTTAATAGACCACGGTACTCTACCGCTTTCTGACCTAAATTAGCATAGGATCTGCAAAGCCGCAATACATACAACTGACGTTTAGTGACCAATCATGAATCAAGAAATTTGCCATAGTACAGAGCTGGCGTTTGTTCATCATTTAAGAGGATATGACAGCTGGATTTTTTCTTCATTTAAGAGTAAATGACTAATTTATGGTTAGTACATGTTTTAGCAATGGCAGTTAAAGATTCACAGCAGAAATTTCATCTGCTATACCCGTGTAGACGGCACGGAGCAATCTAATTACATTACCATTCATCTCTCGGGTGCGATTGAACTCCTGCTGCAGATGAACCTAACAACCACGAACTTCACATAACTCACTACGAAAGAACTTGTGAGATGGGGGCCAAATCCTCGACACTGGTCAATCACTCAATCAGTCACCTTACTGCGTTTCCTTTAATAAAACTGTTTTGACCTATTTTACAATTACGCAAATTATTACACGAAAAAAATTTTCTTGCGCCAATGATTCAAAATGGCGTAAACCTGTACCGAGTCTCGCCAAATGGCAGAAAAGAGCTGTTCTGGGTCGGTCGACTGTGTCGCCGATGGAAGGTAGGTAATTAATTAGATAATTCGGCGATGGTTATGTTGCGTACAAAACCGGGTAACCTGATGTATACGAAAGGCCTCTGACTCTGCATATGAAAAGACTGAAAGTTGGAATTGTTTGCATTCGCTTTCTGCAGTGCCCACGTCGGCTTTATACCACACAACAGGCAAAATGCAAGTCTGTAGAGCCATAAACTGGTACGTTGCGAGAGGGCGCTCGATGACCTGACGTGCGACATGGCTGAAGCGGCCAGGCAAAGATGACTAATCACCTCAGATATGCAACGTTCGGACGAGTTCTGTAAGTTCCCCAGATAGGGGAACTGTTGCACATGCCTTTAATTGTTTGGCAGCCCATGTGATTGCGAGCAGCTGGTGTATACGTTTACAGATTTTGTACC